ACCCCCCTTAGGGACTGTGACATCCTTCTAATACATCATTCACAAGCCTCCATCCAATGTGTTCCCTTAATATCATTTGAATACTAAATATCTTCTCAATATAATCTTAGTAGTGATTTTAATCCTAATAGTACTGTGATCTATTGATATCACAATAATATTAATAACTAATTAATATCAATTAGTTTTACAAAGGCTATTCCCTGAGAAAGTAGAATGAGGGCAGAAGTGCAAACTCTACCCCACCTTGAACTGAGATACTCTCTTCCCTCTACATTTAGTCCAGGGGTGGGGAATCTGGGGCCTCGAGGCCACATGTAGGAGTAGGTTCCCCACCCCTTCTTTAGTCCTTGGGGAAAGTGGGCTCAAAATTAAAGTGGTTGCTACAAACATTCCCCCCCAAAAAAATTTGTGTCTGGTTGATGTATAGTCAATGAATTAGTTGCTTCTTGACTTATAGGTCTTGATGTCTTGGTTGTTGGGTTGATTCATTGCTGTGTTAAGCAAATCATTTCTCATGGCTGTGCTGGCTCCTCACTCAGCTTGGCTGAGGCAGCTACGGATTGACTCTGACATGATCTCCTCTTGCTAGCCTGCTAGGGCCTCCCTCTTATTTTCAAAACTTACCAGGTTATGACTTAATCTATTTCATCCTCAATTCTTATTCACCTGAGATAAAGAAAGAAGAAACACAACAGAGACAAAAGAAATAAGAACCAACTAAGAAAAGGGCTCTCCACCCACAGGCTTACAGCATTTTGTCTGCCTCACTGAAAAGCCTTCTGAGAGCAAGAGGTCAGATTGTTCCATTTTAGCCTTTCATGTGCACCCTCACTTATGGTTCAGCAGACATACTTTGAAAACCACCAGTCTAGAACATAACAGCTTATAGGAGAGGGCAAAAAAAAATAAGGCCAAGGATTTTTCTGGTCTACAGCAGTCATATAGTAATAGAATAGGGTCTTCTGATTGCTCCTCCTGTGACAGTGTACTCTAATCAGCAAATTCTTTTGGAAATGTTCATTTTTTTTCCATCTTAATAGAAAAAGGATAAAAGCACATATATTTTGGTCCCAAATTTTCTATTCTTGTGAATGTTTGTATTCTATATTGTTTTTCATTTAGCTCTGCTTATATTTCCATCTTTTTCCCACTCATGAAAATGTCTTTTAATAAGAGACAGAATTCAGATTGGTGATTGACTTAAAGGCTATAAAATTATCAGTGATCCAAATTACGGCAATTTCAATTATTCTTTGAGAAGGGGAGGTGTACAGGAAGGGTAGGGACAGTGATTAGCACAAATCAACAGGCATGAAATTCTGATTCTCAAAGATTTATTAACTAACAAGAACCAATTAACTAAATATCTTCTTCCATCCTAGCATTAATTACATGCACAGAGATATAATCCAGATATTTATATTTACATTCATTCATGTATCCAATGTATTTCTATATATACAATTTAATAATCAACTTTGGATGCAGGCTAGAAAAGATGTGACATAAGGCAGAAGGAGAGCTGTGGTTTGGTTTTGTTTTGGTTTGGTTTTTTGTTTTGTTTTTGTAGAGTGCAAAACAAATGTATGCTCAGTGGAACCTTCTTTCTTGAAGAACTCAGGTTCATGGAGTAGAGGAGGTAATTGATGTCCTTCTCTAATATGTGTCTTCCAGTTACATATAGAAGATGAAAGGAGATAGGGGAACTGGAGTATGACCCCTGATGTTAGCCTTTATCTATTTCATGGCAATTTGATGAAAATGTAAAAACAGATCGTTCATAGACATCTCTCATGTGAACTTTAATAATGCCGCCACACAGTTACAGCTTTTAAAATTTAACCTTAAAAATGAACTCGGGCTTTGTTCTTATGTCTACATCCTTTTCACATTAATATTGTGAGGTTTTACAGTTTACATCAATTCATTATTGGTACATTAATTCAGTATTGATATCAGTTAATTATTATAATAACTAGTAGATAAATTATTAAGCTTATGCTCCCCCAAAATGAGGTACATGCTATCATTATACACATTTTACAGTGGAAGAAACTGAGGCAGGCATAAGAGAAGTGAATTGGCCAAGGTCATATAGTTGATAAGCGTCTGAGGCTACACTTGAATTCAGAACTTCCTAATTCTACACTCTACTTATTGTACAACCAAAATTGAAGGATTGTTGTTCTTCAATCATGTCCAACTCTTTGTGACTCCATTTGGGATTTTCTTGGCAAGGATACTGGAATGGTTTGCCATTTCTTTCTCCAGCTCATTTTATAGATGAGGAAACTGAGGCAAACAGGGTGAAGTGACTTACCCAAGGTCACACAGCTAGTAAATGTCCAAGACCACATTTGAACTCATGACCAAGAGTCTTCCTAACTTCAGTTCCAGCATTCTATCCCTTGTGCCAGGTAGCTGCCCTTCTAAAGCTTAGGAACTTGAATTCACATTCTCATGTCTTCTCAAATACCCTTCCTTGCTTTCCAGTTTGTCAACAACCTTCATTCCATCTAAGTGCCATAGGGATGGTCATACCCTTGATCTTGAGGGTATCACCCATATCAACAACAAGTGCTCCAACTCCACATACCATCTCTCTGAAGTTGCTCTTTCCATCCATGCCCTCCTGTCCATCTGTTCCCCCATCACAAACCCATTCTGTGTCCTCATAACAGCTTCTATTCACTCTATCACTCCTGCTCCAGCCTCATTTTCCTCTCTTCAAAATCTTGACCCTCTCTACTTAATCAGATCCACTTGATTCTGCCCTCTATCTTTGAATCCTTTGCTTTTCTGTCCTGTCACAGCTTTTTGAGAACCCACCTCTGCTCACCTCCTTCTAATCTTTTTTCCCCTTCTCTTAGTTTTCAAGACACTATTCACTCATGGTTCTCTTCCTATCTATTTGTCTCTTTTGCAAGATCATCATCTATGTATGTCCCTAACTACCTAAGGCCCTGTTCTAACCTCCATCACCTCCCATAGATTTAACAATCATCTCTATGCAGATAACTCCCAAGTTTACATATTCTGCCTTCATTTCTCTTCTGAGCTCCAGTATCTCTCTCCAAATGCTCACTATATATCCTATATGCATCTCAATTTGTCTAAAGCAAACTCATTATTTTTCCCTCAAATTTTTACCTCTGCCTAACTTTCTAATTTATGTTGAAAGTATGACTCTTCTTTAGTTTACAACCAAGAAATCATCACTCTCCCTCACTTGCCATACCCAACAATTCTACCTCCTCAGCATCTCTGACATCCATACTCTTCTTTGTACTTTTTCAACCATTGTGTTAGACTTTCATCACCTCTCACCTGGACTATGGCTATTGGTTTTCTTGCTTCCATGCTGTTCCCTCCCATTATATCCTCTACACAGCTGTGAAATCGATATTCTAAAAACTCAGGCCTGACTAAAACACTCTCTTACTCAAAAAACTTTTTGAAGCTATTGACTCTGGAATAAAACAGGTACTCCATTTGGTATCGAAAGCCCTTCCGAATCTAGCCTGTCCTTCCAGGTCAATTGCACATTGTTCCCCTCATATACTCTACATATTCTAAACAAGTAATGGTCTACTGGTTGGTCCCCATACATGGGATTCCATCTCTTGTTTCTATGTCTTTGCACAGGTTGTCCCCAATGCAACAAATACTATCCCTCCCTTCTCCCCATCTCTTACTTTCTTCAAGGTTCAGTTCAACAAGTATCACCTCCTCCAGAAATTCTTTCTTAATTTCCTAAATTGTTAATCATCAACCCCTCCCCCCACAAAATCTTTTAAAATATATTTTCTATATGTTCCCTATTGTTTATCAGTGAACATGTTGTGTCTTTTCAGAACAATGTAAGCCTCTCGGAGATAGGGAGCATTTTTATTTTTGATGTTGCATCAACAGTGCTCAGCACAATGTCTGCCACATTTGTTGTTCAGTCTTTTTTCTTGGCAAAAATACTGGAGTGGTTTGCCATTTCCTTCTCCAGCTCATTTTACGGATAAGGAAACTAAGTGTCTGGAGCCAGATTTGAACTTGGGATGGTGTCTTCCTGACTCCAGGCTCATGCCTCCCCACTATACCACTTAGCTGGCCTATGTCTGCCACATACTAGGCACTTAATATATTCCAGTTGGTTGAGTTATTGATTGATTCAGTATATATTCACTGAAATCCCTGAGGAGACCTTTAAGTTTCTATTAACATTTTTCAAATTTAGGGGATCAATAGATTTAAAACTAGAATGTACCTTAGAGGTCTTCTAATCCAACCCTTCATTTTGACAGATAATGAAACTAAGCCCCACAAAAGTTACAACTCACACAAGGTCAAACAGGTAACAATATTAGACCTGGAATTTGAACCTTAGACTTCTGTCTTCAATTCCAATTGCCTTCCTACATTGTCTTCCTAAAACCCAAGTATTTCAAAATGAAATAAGCTACATGAGGAGTAGAGAGGCGGGAAAGGTAAGAATTCAGACATTAAAGTTTGGCCAAGCTTTTACCATTGTAGGCACTGCCACAGTATTAAGAAAAGAGGTATCAAACCCAGGGCCCTCAGACCACTGTCACATGTAGCCAGAACCAGCTTAAAATTTAATTGGCAAATGTTTTCACAAAATAAATGAGAAATATAATACAACATAATCTTAATTTCTGGTTTTCCAAGTCGAGATGCTGGCTGGAGGGATCTTTTTCTATTTGAGTTTGATACCACTGATTTAGAGTGTCCTCACCAATGATTATTGCAAACTTTCTAAAAGCTCCTAAGGTTCTATTAATTAATAACAGAATAACCAGACCAGTCAATATAGTTGCTCTGTACTTCTCTATTTTATATTTGCACAGAGGAGGCTCTTCCAGAAAAGGTAAGCAGGAGATTATTAGAGCTTCCTCCTCCATACTCTCCTTGCTGTTCCACAACAAATATCTTCGAATTAAAAATATTTTCCTTCTTAAATGTCAAGCAGACTGTTTAATACTTACAGATATTGCAGAGTAGACTCTTTGCCAGGTGTAGGTTGGACTAGATGGCCTTTGCAGTTTTTTCCAACTCTGAAATTCTATGAGTATGAGCTAACTAATGATGCTAACCGATCAGTCAGGTCCTTAATAAAAAGAAAAAGAATCAGTCAAACAATGAAAAATAACCAGTAAAACTAGCTTTATGGTAATATGTAGACAAATCAATTGGTTTGATTAACTAGATTTTCATTTTCACTTTTTAGTCTTTCTCTGAAAATTTCGAAGCAATGATGTGGGGGGGAGATTCTGGTTTTGATTGTATATATTTTTAAGTACATGTTTGGAAAGATTGAAATATATCCAACATTTCTTAAGGACTTTTACTGACCTGAAGTCTCTGTGAGTTTAGAAAGTGTATCTGTAAGTTGTAAGTGCATTATTTATAGTTTAGTATAAATAAATGGCATCCAAGTTATAATATTTTTGCACAGCAGCTCAGGGAGAGGATTTACTATGTTGTCAAGTAAAGAAGCATTTATTAAGTACATACTGTTTGCCTAGTACTTAATAAATGCTCGTTTACATATTATTTGTCTGGTCTAGGCTGTGCAGTGGATAGTGCTCTGGACTTAGAATCAGAAAGACTCCTGTTCCTGAGTTCAAATCTAACTTCAGCCACTTACTAGCTGTGTGACCCTAGGCAAGTCACTTAACCCTGTTCGTCTTAGTTTCCTCATACGTAAAATGAGCTGCAGAAGGAAATGACAAACCACTCTGGTATCTCTGCCCAGAAAACTCCAAATGGGTTCACAAAGAGTTGAATAAGACTGAAATGATACAACAAAATTTGCATGGTACTAAGTTCTGGGAATACAAATACAGTAGAAAGAAATATAGTCCCTGTCCCCAAGAAGCTTACATTCTAATTCATAGGTTCCCAAAGTGAGTGATACCAGCCCCTGGGGGGTGCTGGAATGATGGGGTGGGGAGAGAAGTGAGGCAGTGGTAGCCTCAGGTTCAATTGGGTGGTGTTGAATAAAAATAAGAGGACAGTGAAAGCATAAGGAAAGAAAAAAATTTTGAAAAACTGTATATTTCATCTGTTGTGTAACAGAGCTAAAGTTATAGTGATTAAGTTATTTTCTAAATAAACACACAAAATGCAAGTTATAACCGATCAGTGGTCAAGTCTACCAACAGGTGTTAACAAGCAAATGTTGGCAGGCAAGCTTGTCCCACATTGTCAGGAAATCCAGCATGCATGGCCAGGAATATGTATGTGTAATGACTTGTTTACAGTATGATACTATATGGTTACATGATGCAAATGCATCATCAAAATTTCAATGCAGGAAAACCCCACAAATTTACAATAAATTATTAAATTTGATACATCTTTTTTTAAAAAAAATTATTTTATATTTTTAAATGCTGCAAATTTCAAAAAAATAACCAATAATGTTTAAAGAAAGTAGATTTCCAGGGAGGGAGACGCTGAGTAATTTTTTTTAAAAAGGGAGTGGTAAGCCAAATAAGTTTGGGAACTTCTGTTCTAATTGGAGAAAGTAACATAAAAAAGGAAGCTGAAATGATTAGGGGTGGAGAGAAGAACTCACCCGGGGCATGGTACAGAAAGTCCAGAGTCAAGAGGGCAGCCTGGAGAGGAAGGAAGCTATAGGTGGCCTTAAAATTTCCTTAAAATGGAGGTTGTGTAAGAACCAGCCAGTCAGAGGAAGAGAACACAGAGGTGACCGATATTTCCAGCGTGAAACATCCAGGAGTGAGATGAACTTATAGGGTAAAAAGGTTTCTGTGGCATGATAGACAAAGTCCAGAGAGTCAGGAGAGCAGCTGAAAGTATGAAAGGGTCATAGCCCCTTTTGAAGTATTATCATATATATTACTTATAAAGTGTATTTTATTTTCCATATTATATTTAAAAGTATTGCTTATTTAGAAAATAGTTACAAATTTACTGATTGAATTTACATCAAAATGATTTTCATTTATACAGAATCTAAAAGCAGGTGCTAAATTCTAAAAAGCTTGCCACCCCAGATTTAAGCAGTGTGGGTGCTGTGGCTATAATGCTGGAGATTGATTCAAATCAAATATTTGGCACTGATTTTGCAGCATGATTTTGGACAACCTCTAAGCTCTCAGAGCCTCTGGCAACTGTCTTGGCTTTAATCTACTTAGGGATAGGTTCTACTACCCTTGATCTCCGATGCATCATTGATTGTTGTCATGGTCTGCTGTCTCAGTCACGGACAACTCTGTGACCCCATTTGAGATTTCCTTGGCAAAGATCCTGGAGTGATTTACCATTTCCTTCTCTGGCTCATTTTACAGATGAGAAACTAAGGGAGATAGGGTGAAGTGACTTGCCCAGGGTCACACGTCTAGTTAAGTGTCTGAGGCTAGATTTGAACTCAGTAAGATGAGTCTTCCTGACTTCAGACCTGGTACTCTATCCACTGTGCCACTTTGCTGCCTCTCTTTTATTGATTAGCGTTCCCATTTTGGAAACAGGCCAAAAAAAAAAGGCAGATTGGAACATCAACGTTGTATATAACAATATAGAGTAATTTAAAGTTTGCAAAGCACTTCATACGTACTGTTTCATTTGATCCTCACAACAAACTCCAGAAGGTAGATACTATTATTATCCCTACTTTATAGATGAGGAAACTGAGGCTGAGAGGTTAAATGATTTCCCCAGGGTCACACAGCTAGTAAACGATTTCTTTCTGACTCCATGTCCAGCACTGTGACCACTGAAACCCAAGTTTAACTACGTGTTACTACTGAGCAGGGAACACTGTCAATCCCGCATTCACCCAAACTCCACCCACCACCAGAGGGCACTATAGGATAAATCCATGCTCTCTAAGGCCATTTCTTTGGCAGATGGCTATATGCCTTTTCTTTATCATGTGGTTTGGAGTATTGGGTTTATCCAATTATAATATTGTCTTAGCCCATCCAACGGAAATTTTGCCTTCTTCCCTTCTCTACTGTGTTTTAATAATATTTAACTCACACAACACATGCACACATGCGCGCACACACACACACACACACACACACACACACACACACACACATAGAATTCTTTAAGAATAACCATGGGGTGGGGGTGGAGTGGGGAAGCGAATGGAATAAAATCACTTTAGTTCCTGGCTCCTTCCCCAAAACAGATAGCCCACATTCCTTTTGGTCTGTAAGCAAGCCAACATTGAGACATTAGAAAAACACAGTTTGGGTGCTAAAAATCAAACCTCCCCAAGGGCAGCTAGGAATCCTTCACCAGGAATCTGTATCAAGGCTGTGAATTCGTCCTTTCTCTGCCTACTGCCAATTGTGTTCTTTTCACTTCTCTCATGGCCACTTAAATCTACAGCTGGCCTCTAACACTACTTTCATCTGGTGGCACAGCTTTATCATCAGGTCTCATCATGGAAAGCAGTATGATGGCCAGAAGCCATTTTGCATTTGTATCTCTGAAAATAAAAACTCCCCTAGTCATATTCTATGGCACTTCCCCATGTTAAGCAGGCACACTCATTTATACCCTGCCCCTAGGTTTCTCCTTCCACATGGGTAATGATAGTCTCATAACCAGCCTAGTCTCAGAAACTTTTTTTCCATAGCCTCATATAACATTAATTTCATTTCTAAAAAATTAAAATATTTCACTTTACTTGCTTTTATTCTTGTAAGTGATACTACAGTTAGAGTTTCAAAACCAGTTGATTTTATCTAGCCCCATGTAACAGAAGTCTCACTTTGATATAGTAATTACTTTGGTTAGTGTCACATTTCCAATTTCATCATTTTGAAAAATATTTTGAGGCTAAGAATAGATAATAAAATAAAAATACTTCATATTTTAAAATATTATACATTTTTAAAATAAAATAACATTTTTTCTTTATTTTTACACCAGCACCCACCCCTTCCCACACACCCTAGACTACATTTTTTTTTAATGCTCTATTGTTGTTCTGCTTGGATAGCCCTAGTAAACAAAACCACTATTATCTGACCGTCATTTATGTTAGCAGAAACAGAAAGAACTTCTGCTTAGTGCAAGAGATATTATCTAAATGGTTCTGGGTGACCTGGGAGAGTTACTGAATGCATCTGCAAAGATGCAAAAACCATTTCCTCCATTTTCATTAATGGCCACAAGTTAATGGTTTCTTAGTCAAGGTATTTCTTCTGGAATTCTTAAGAGATATCCATTCTGTCCTCCCATATTTCCTGTGACTTTTTGACCTCTCTTATTATGTGGATGTTAAAAAAGATATTTTCTTTATGTTTCTAAAGAAAGGTACTGCTGAATTATTGTAAAGGGTTTGGGTGTTAATGGGAGAGTTTCTTTTGGAGGGGAGGAGAGACCAACTCTTAGCACTGAGTAGACCCTGGTGGAAAAGTAAGACCTCATAGAAAAGGAGAATTTTGAACTTGGGGCTGCCCCAGAATAACACCCTGACATTTCAGGTAAATCTCTTATTTTCTCCAGAGTTCTCCACTCCCACCCTCTTCCCTCAACAGGACTCATAATGCCACCCCAAGTTTTACACTCCATTTAGGAGGAAAATATGCTTGGGAACTGCTAGACAGGCAAGCTCTTTCTCATTGTGCCTGGTCTATCTGCAATAACTTACTTGTCAGAATCTAGATCCTATGCTACATTCTACTGCAGGCAACTTTCTCCTCTCTCCAAAACACAATGCTCAGAAAACTGGAGTTACTCACAAGGCATCACCCAGGACTCATGCTGCTTAAGAAATCTCTTTTGTCTGGCTAGAAAGCTACATTCTGGAATTATATTGGTGTAAAAATGGTCCCTCCTCTGTCTAGTAGGTACTGGTTCACAAATGATATTAATCATGAACTTCCTTTCATTAGCCATGTGAGTGAGCACCTGTAGCTGTGCTTCTTCAGAATACTCAACCATTGTCTAGGCTGCCTGTATCTCTAGGGCTTGAAAAGTCTACTGTCAGGGTCCTGTGTTCTCTGACCTATGCTCAGAAAGGGGAAAATAAAGAGAAAAAACAGGGAATTATCCAGGTGAACATATACAGATCCCATTTGCTTCTGTCCCCAAGATAACCATTAATGGCTCCAGAGAAGA